CATCCAAACACTTTAAGTTTGTTATAATCAGGTGTTTTTCCAGACCACAACTTTTCAGGGCGTTGACAATCAATAACACTAGATGAACTTCTATTTATTAGATAAGTTGCAGTATTTAGGGCTTCACCCCAGAAAAACTTAGGAAGACCAGAACTGTATAACATACATCTAACTTTTTCCAAAAGAGTCATATTCATTCTCTCAGCAACTCCATTTTGTTGAGGTGTGTATGTTACAGTTCTATGTCTAAGAATTCCAAATTCTTTACAAAATGAATTAAATTCAAAGTTACAAAATTCAAGTTCATTATCAGTCCTCAGTGCTTTGATTTTCTAGTTCGTTTGATTTTCAATCATAGACTTCCATTGTTTGAAAATCAGAAAAGTATCAGACTTTTGTTTTAAGAGAAAAGTCCATATTTTTCTTGAAAAGTCATCTACTATCAATAGATAAAACCTAAATCCACTAAGTGTATTTACTGATGCTGGACCCCACAGATAAGCATGTAAGTAATCCAAGATTGAAGTAGATTTATGAATTCCAATTTTAAAATGCAATCTTTTCTATTTTCCAATAGTACAATTTTCACAAAATTCTAATTTTTCAATATTAACACTTCCAAAACATCCAAGTTTGTTTAAAATGATTAGACCTTTCTCTGAAATGTGCCCCAATCATTTATGCAAAATTAAGGACTTATCGGAAACATGATTTGAGGCTGTGGTACATTGGCTTATTACTGGTTCAGCATAAATTGTGTAGATGTCATTTATTTTTGAAGAGGAAATAACACATATGTCCCCTAAGGATAATCTCAGAAGACCCTTGTATATTGTGATGTTATATTTTTCATCCAATTCTCTCAGGGAGATTAGATTCTTTTTCAGTTTAGGAACATATCTAGCACTTTCTAATTCAAGGGTATAATTGTCAGTTAACATCAATTTTATCTTCCCAATACCCTTTATTTGACAATTCATGTCATTGCCCATCTGAATTTGTCCTCCATCGAGATTAACAAACTCAGAAAATCACTCTTTAGTGGGGCACATATGGAAGGTACAACCAGAGTCTAGGACCTATTCTTTTGAATCGCTTCTTTGGGTGTTCACAAGAACAATCCCTTGAATATCAGGTTCATTATTGTAGGCCACTGTTACAGAACCATCAGTGTTGTTTTTATCTTTCATATATGAGATTTTCTTAAAGCAATTCTTTATTAAGTGTCCAGTTTTACCACAGTAATAGCATTTTCTGATCTGGTCCTTTAGTTTCACTTGGTTTTTGTTCCTATCTCTATTTCTATTATTCTGAAATTTTCCTTTCTTGGTTGAATTAAAGTTGTATTGGATCTGTTTCTTATTCTGATTCAATTTCTCTTTCATATATAGCCCTTCACCAAACTTAGAGTCTTTTGACTCGGTTTTCATTTCAAGTTCTTTATTTCTAAGGGCTGCAGTTATGATATCTACTGTAAGAGTCTGCCCCCCATATTCTAAAGAATTTCTAATGTCTTTATATCTCTCACTTAGAGAGTTTAATAAGGCAACTACTTGTTGGTCACTTGAAATCTCCTCATCACAGTTATCTAAGTCCTGAATCAATTTAGTGAATTTATCTAAATTTTCTTCTAGGTCAGAAGATGGATCGAATCTGAAATTGTAAAATTGCCTTAGGAGGTAACATTTATTAGGCATGGACTTAGTTAAGTAAAGATTTCCTAATTTTGTCCATAGAGTCTCAGCAGAATTGGCTTCTGCAGAAGTGGAAGCTTCTGCAGAGGCAGTTTCTCCTACTTTTCTAATTACATTGTCTGATAGAGTCAGTTTCTCCTACTTTTCTAATTACATTGTCTGATAGATGAAGAAAAATAGTATTCCATGCAATATCATCTAATTCTTTCCTCCTATATGCACTAATTTCAACAGCCCATGACCCATCTAGGGCTGCAGCACGTCTTTGCTGCAGTAAGAGGGCTCTTATCTTCTGGCGCCAGAGAGTGAAATCTCCAGTGCCATTCCATGTCTCTATGTCTAACTTATATGAAGTGGACATGATGACAAATATAATTGAATAGCATGCAATTATGCAATATACAGTATGAGTGATTCGGGCAAATAAGATAAACAACAAAACAATTTATTTTCTGCATTTAACTACCTTATTTACAGGCTTCAAGATTAACTAGAACACTGTCTAAATGATAAGAGAGAGTCCAGAATTATACCATGAAACTGAAATTTTAAAATTTCAGTTTAGGAGTGATCATACTTAAGCCAGGGAAGGAACCAGGTTGCAATGCACACTGCACAGATCAATGTATTTCCAGAACTCGGAGTCAACTCAGCAGGAATCGGAGCGAGTCAACTCAACTCCTCAAACTCAGTACGAGTCAGAACACCCAGTTGAACTCAGTTACGATTCAACTCAACTCGCCAAACTCAATATGAGTTAGGGCAACCAGTTGAACTCAATTATGAGTCAATTCAAAAAAATAGAGGAGTAGAATTTGAGGACCGATTTTTCAATTTCCTTCACAAAGACCAACAGATTTCAACTAAAGAAAGGTTTCGAATCTTTAATCACCAGTTTTGTACTCAATCCAGTTAACAAGAAGGAATTTCAGTGTATTAAAATTTTTTTTTAACAAAACTTGAAACCTAGGGTTTCAAAAAAGATAGATCTGAAATTGGAGAGAGGAAAAATTAAAGAAAATCAAGAAACTGGCTCTGATACCACTGTTATGTTTTTAAACTTGAAACATTCAAGATTGATCTTTCGAAAAACATTAAAGAATTGCAGAAAAATAAAAGAAATTAACACCAGATATTTTTGCCCTTTTAAAAGGACCCGGATGTTCGATTTTGCAACCTAATCACCCGTTGAGCATCTTTCACGAGATTAAGCTCTAGATCCACTAATAACGAACAAGAACAGTGCACAAATGTACGAAGAAATTGGAAATTTCTTCGAGTTTATCTTGCCTCTTGACCAACAACACAACACTGGTATTACTCTCACAGATTGCACATAATAACCATTTCTTTACACAAAGAACGGAACATTATCAATCACAAAGATCGATTTCATCTAAAACAGCCAAACCCTAGTTTTCACTCAAAAAACGAAGGATATAGAGAAAAGACAAAGAGTAAGACGAAGAGACTCAAAAGAAAGCTCTAGAATAGTCAGAGAAAGCCAAGACCCAGTGTGTATGTATCCGTATTCATCCAAACAATCAGAGGGCAGAGACTTAACTACGTGTACGGCTAATTTTAATTCTTGAAGAGGTATTTTATCAAAACACGTTTTTCTCATACTTGAAATAACCACAGCAACCCGGTGGAGCATTTGGCCCAATTTAAAGAGGCCCACGAAGCCAAGAATCAAGTGAGGTAGCCCACAAATTATTAACAGATTCTAAAGAACAAAACTTTAAACTAGTACCGTGTAAAACCTTGGAAAAAACAAATAATCAAGTAAAACATTTGAATCATGCTACAGTGTTAGAATAATTGACATAATTATTGACAAAATGCTACACAACACTCTATCATTGAAATGTTTAAAATATAGTAACCTTTTCCATCAAATCAACCCATGCCACCTAAGATTCTGACATTGGTTCTGGTATTATTCTTTTGGCAAAGTGGTTTACCTCAGAAATTTTCCATCCATAGTACTCCTACCCAATCGAACTATGCCACAAAAATTCAGCATTTTTTCATTTTCAACGAGGAATATGTTTATGTTACATTAACAAAACACCAGAAAATGACAATAAAACTGTTTCTTGGCATAAAAATCTGAAGCCTAATCAAACAATTTCCAGAGCTACGATTGTGCAAGCAAGGGTTTTTATCATATACTCTTTGCACATATCCTTGGAACTCATAGTACCTTGTACAAAACCAAACGTTAATCATTTCGTACAAGAGAAATATAAGAGATTATAATTTTGGATGACAAAGAACAAAACCTGGGCAAGTTGCAGTCTTTCGGTTGCCAACGCCACTTAGTGTAGAAATTATTAGGCGTGCCATTTTCAGAGCATCGAAATCCCTCGTCCAAAAGAACATACAACACAATTGATCTCTAACTTAAATGGTAAAATTATCTAAAAAAGTAACATTTGATGTAATTAAATGTAACTTCTTGATTTTTGAAATAAAAGAAATTTTTCTTCGAACAATTTTATCATTTAAGTGATGCACTGTGTGAGTGTTTTGGGGGAGACTCAAGAGAATCGAGAGAACTTGACACTCGGGTGGGGGTGTGGGGTAAGTGAAATTGAAAATTCGTTGTGGCCCGACAAGATTATTTGAATTTCAAGAAGAAAATGACATTTACAGATGCAAGTACTTTAACGATTAGAGTCAAGGGCTCTAACTTATTAAAATGTAGCAAGTAGGTACATCTCCTATTTCTTTAGCGATTGTAGGCCCGTCTCACAACACTTTTAGAAAGTTAAAAACTGCTTTTGAATATGTTTAAATACTTTTTGTGAAGTGCTTTGTTATGTTAGAAAAGCTTTTAGATGAATTGAGCTTCTTGAAGCAAAAGCCAAACCCCTACCGAATTGGCCTTAATAGCAATGTGGTTTCTTTTGACTATTAAAAGGAGAAATAGACAATATACGTTAAGCAAGGACTGGTTAATTACTAAATAGAAAGGCACAGGATGTCGGTGCTTTATAAAAAAAATGAAGTCGAAAACCTACTTTATATAATTTCAATAAGTTAACCCAACTATAATTTTTCCTTGCATAAGTAACAGCTTGAATACAAATTGTCTTCGTATCTATTTTCGGTCCGTCAAATAACTCAACTGATGCCCAGCCCGAGGTTGTCTGCAATGGCATTGTTAGTATTCATGCTTCAAGAGATTGATATTGCAATTATGTCCTAAGAAGTCCTTTTAAGATCTTCGCCACGAAAAGAAGAAGAAGAAGAGGACCACAAATCAAATCAAAATGGAACATTAATATTTAACAGGATAAAAGAACAAAGTAGAATAATCCAACTTTTATTAGGATGTAATGATAATAATGGACTCACTCAACTATTATTTCTTCAAATATGACACAACTCTTATTCCAATTACAACTTGATGGTGTTTTATATACAACACAAGAAAAGCAGGAAAACTGTGACAATCCAAGGAAGACAAATCTGGAATCTTATTGCAAACAAAATTTGAGTTACATACGAAAAGCGAAAAAGAAATTTTGTTAGACGACAGTATTTGGCAACGTAGAATTCACAGACAGTAGAAACAAAAACTGATGCATGTCGCAATGCCACCTAGAATCCAAAGTCTGTCTAACCTGTTTTCATATCGCATCTTCTTCTCCTTGAGCTCTGTTTGTACCTTCAAGTACAAATTGCACGACTCAAGGGCTTCGTTGTGATTCATGCTCCTACGGCAACTAAGTGCTGCTTTAAGGATGAGCAAACTTTTTAGACCATTGACATGAGAACCATTCATATCCTCAAGTTGCATGCTTAGTTCCGTCAACTTGATAATTGTTTGGATGCCTTCGCCCTGAGTATGGATCACCCTGAACTTCATGATAAGGATACATTCGACTATTTGACAAGGAAGAATATCTTTGGCGGGAAGAATGGATGCAAATCGTACCACAAAATCCTTGTCTGTCGGCCAATGTCTTTGCCCTCCAAGTGGGCTCCAACTTGATAGATTAGCAGCCTTTTTTATTTTTCTGTTTACTATAATCCAACTAAGCCGGATGCCATCCTGGAGCTCTTGCCAGAGCTTTCCATCTTTTCTCTCTTTTTCAATGGACATGATTGGAGGCAGGCCATCAGAGACTGTAAGTGTCACTTTATCTGAATATGCAAGAAGATCAATACGAAATGGACAGTTGAAAAACCAACCATTAAAGCCATCTGCATTCGGGATTCCCCATAGGACTTTTGAACATATTGTTTTGTCTTTATATCTGATATCCATTATAGACACAAAATCCAACGGTGAAATGTTTTCGAGTTCATCCACGTCACCATAGTATTCAGCTTCAGTCAACTCTTCGGGATACTCAAAATCGTCATTCCATCGAAATTCAGGAACCTCGTTTACAATAAGGGGAAAACAATCTGCATAAAATTTTTTGAATCCACCAATTGACATGATCAAACTTTTGACATCATCCCGATCAGTAGAAGGCCACATAGAAGAGCACACATTTTCCCATAATCGCTCTTCCTTTGAAATAGAGCAGAATGTTGCACAAGCACAGGCAGCACTGGCCAAAGTCGCACCATCAAGACGCCTAAGTATGTCATAGAAAAGATCGCTGCTCAATGATGCCATACTTTCAACTGATGAAATTGACATTATGAGTCCTTCAGATCATCTAAAAAAGAAAAATTCGAAGTCTGTAGTTGAGCAAAAATGAAGAGAGGAGATTATTTGACATTTGCCCTTCTTTTTGTTGTCTCTGTGCCACTTTCAAATTATTTTCACCAGAATCATCAACTCACTCCAAGAACAAGACCTTCATCTGGTTAATACAACTATCAAACTATGGCTGTCAAAAGGAAGGAGATTTGGTTGAATTGTTTGTTCGATTCCATGTTATATGGTATCTAATGGCTAGCAATTAATGAAGGATTTATGGCAACATGTCAACCCTAACAATCTATGGCTTTGAGGACGAAGAAATCCAATGCCGTGACTTAGCGGGAAAAAGAAGGTGTAGGCAGGATAAAATTAAAGAGAACAATACAACTTTTAACAGGCTTTGATACCATTATTAAAATCTATAGCTCCACATAAACAGCAATATCTAGAGAGACTTTGGACGAGAGTAACAGTATTAAAGTAAACTCAATCTCCCAGCAAATCCGAAAGTGTACAGGAACCGGAAAGACACTACACAAAGAGAATTGCTGAGTCGCATGATGTGTAGTTAGGTTTTATTTTGTTCTCCCAATAAGTTTACTTCTACTGTCCTTTTAGCTGGAGATAGTTCAAGACTCATCCTAAGTTTGTATTTATTTCATTATTAATAAAAATGGCACCTAGTGTGGGATAATTAAAGAAAAAATAAGCTCTTAGCGTGAATTTCCCTATAGGGATATCCTATTTGTAGCTCTCACTCCAAATCCCACTTAACCTAATTTGGCCTAAACCTAATTACCTATTTCATCCAAGATAAGTACAGAAAAAGGGGATAAAAAAATCCTGTTAAAATTTAAATCACTATCTACATCATAAATCTCATACATGGTTTGAATCCTAATCAGTACTTCATTTCTTGGTTTACCAGAACATCATCCATTACCTCCCAAAACAAACCCTTGAAAATTCAGAAATCGATTAGTGCCTAGAAAAAGCATTTCCAGGTAGATAGTAATTTGTTTGCATAAAATTAAATTGGCGTAATTAGTCAAGAATTTCGAGAAGTAAAAGCAATCACAATGTCAAGCAACAGCAGAGAAGGAAAAAAAAAGGTTTCTACTTACACAAAAGCATGAAACTCAAACCCCAAAAAATTGAAGATTAAATAATCAAGAAAAACCCAGTAAACAAGGAAAAGAGAAAACCCACCTCACAGAGCAGCACGGAAATACTGAAACTTGATCGAAAGTGCAATTTGGGGATTTCAGTACTGAATAATAAGAATTAAATAAGTAAGAAGTTGAGAAGAGATATATTTGTAGAGCAAGATAGCGTGTTAAAGGGTCGCTTTCTCAATTTTTCCAAAGATCTCTCTTTGTCGGGTCGAGTAAATTTCTGGGTTATCGAATCTGATTCATCAATGTTTATCATGACACGTAAGGATTGACGAAGAAAAGGTGTGGACCCCAAAGATGAGCAT